GTAGTTCGCAAACAAAACCAAAACTGTCGATTTGAAGGCAAAAATAAGTGTCGCATTCTCAACCTTTTAAAGCCGGCACCTAGAACTTTGACCACATTCGGTTCACATATCTAGGTGTGGAAAAATCCGCAAAGTGAAGGCTAGGGTAAGGGTGGTGTTAAAAAATATTTCATTCACCGCAGTATCACCAAATGACAGTTTTTGCACGGGGAGTGATGACTCCAAGAGCAGCAGCAAGCCAACGAAATGAGACGACATCGAAAGTGACAAGCCTCAACCCCGTATTCCTTTTAATATTCCTCAAATATGGTTACTCATTTTACCAACACTAAAACAAACGCACTGCGAGAATTGATGTATTGGTGATAAAAAGTTAGCAATTAGATGTCAAATTTGCGAACTTGGATATAAATGAAACTGACAGTCTTTGGTCAAAAGTGAGATGGCAAAGAGTAGAAATTAGACGAAAACCAAGTGCGTGCTAGGCGTGCCCAAGAGGAAACAAGAGGAGAAACAAAAGGAATAGACGAATTCTATCAATGGATAGCTCAATTCAAGATCCAATCCAGCTATGGAAGCCATGAGAATTTCACACCCACATGTCGAAGTGAACTCAGGGAACTGGGAAAATGCAAGGCTCGATCTATGTGAAGCCTTCTATCAGCCAGCTGTCTGCACTTCACACATCTGGATCAAAGTTTATGGTGTTAAAAACCACTGACCCAATCCTTCCACCAAAGACCAAATGAATTTCAAAAAGCCGATCACAAGACTTAAATAGCTATCGCAGGAAATGAAACGAGCCTCTCAAACTTAATAATAATGTACACATGCACACAGGCAACATCTTTTACAAAAACGGACACAGGTCAGTGATATGACGAGTCCAAAGTCAACCAAAGGAGAAGTAAAAGCAGTTAAGACAAAACTATTCGATTGAAGGAACAACGCAGGAGGAACGAAGAACTGGCTAGAGGGGACTGGAGGAGGGTGCATTAGTTTTGAGGAAGGTCTGGAGGGAGGTTTGCAATTCCTCTACCAGCGGTTCCATGAACTTACAATAACCAGCCTCTGTGGGGTGAAGGTAGTCAAGCATGTCGCGGTGCGCGATAGAACCGTCGGGCTGGAGGAGAGCCTCCCACTCCGGCCAGAGGAAGACCACACGGTCCTTGGGATGACTGAGCTCGGCTGCCAAAAGCCGATTTACCTCCAGGTGCTTAGCTCGACGAGGATTGGGCTTCTTGCCGCAGGGCAGCAGACCCTTTTTGGAATCAGAGCAAAAACAGATAAAAATAAGATTACTTTCGTAGCATCGCGAATTCAAAAACTTGCTACACATGCACTTACAGTTCAGGAGCAAGTCCCTCTAATGGTAATCAAACATGTGCTAGAATACAATGGAAATAAAAATGGTCGACAAGAAGAGCAAAACCATAATCGTCGAGTTTACAGGGGAAATAAGTGGGGAAGTCGACCTCGAATATGAGAGAAAAGGTGTTTGAAGTGTGCTAAATTTCAAATAAATGATTGAAGATCACGGGTAGTGAATGCTTGAGGCCCCAGCAAAAAACGAAAGACCCGTTAAGTGGAAATTAGGAGGAAGGCATCATTGCATCACCACTGGTTTGAACATATTTCACTAACCCATACGTTATGAGTCAGCCTATGATGCTATGCAAGCATGGAAGAAGCAAACTTGAATCAAGGGTGAATATGGGTAATAGCCTAATGCACAGTTGATCAGTGAGAAGTGCGCGCATAGTGGCAAATTTCTAACCAAAATTCCATTCATGAATATTGTGGGAAAATACACCACTAAAACGACTCCGGAAATGAGGAACTAAGAAAGGACTAACAGAAATACAAAAACACATACGTGGCCAAATAAATAAGTGAAGTTATCTTCCACTCGCCCGATACAGTTTTTTGATTTGATTAAAAAGCAAATAGGAAGGGGACAAGTGTAGTTTGAAATTAAATATTGCTACTCTGTCGTCAATTTCATGCATGTCCTGCCTACCTACTTATTTAGCCTTAAGGTGTCTTCGACTATAAAACTAGAAGCATTTGGGAAAATGGTTGCAACAGCCATGCAATATACGTCAAAATGCATCTTGCATGGCATCACAGCATGGAAGGATAAGGAGTTAGAGGTCTATTGACGAATATGCCTGTCATGCCATGGGACCATATGAAG